GTTTCCCTTACTGATATACAAGAGTATGACAATTAGGGGTAATTAGCCCAGCAGGAAACCTGTTTCTAAGCATGGGCCAGACTACAAGTATATACTACATGTATTTAACTGCCAGAACAGAGAATTAGCATTTTGAAACATGCTTTGCTTTAGAGCTAGAGAGCTTATGTGTCTGAATGAGCATTAAACTCAGAATATTTGCCATGTCCTGCTGCTAAGATGCAAATTTAAGACATGAAGAGCTCAAGGAGCTCAGTCAAAAGAGTTTTGAATGTCAGACTGCAGTTGTCCAGGTGTCCTGCCTCCCCTGAATTTGCACTCAGAAAAAACTCAGACGTTTTTCAATCAGTTCCTGTGTTATAGCTGATCAATACAAGCCTCTGCACAAGCTAATGATTTGTGTTGTGTTTTGCAGGAGTTTTTTTAACTGCTCAGTTCTCATAATTTCATTCTCCACTCAATGTAACCTGTTAATAAAAAAAACTATAGCAGTGATGTAATCTTGTGTTACAGGCAATTATCGATAGGTCTTTGAGGTACCCTATACTGTCAGGAGAAAAATCTATTGCTTCTGCTTATATCAGAACTAAAAATTCATCTGCTTGAGTTACCACCTGAAATCTTTTGGATCAAGAGAAATGGAACCAGAGCCTAGAAGCTCTGATTCTTCCCAAAACCTTTCGCAACTGCTAGCTCTCCTTTTCTATTATCTTGCCCGAGTCAAAACATCAGACCTCAAACCAACCTCTGCTACTCAACATGTGTTCTATTTCCCTGCTAAATGCTTCAGGCACTACATAAAATCTCAAAAGAATCAGGTGCTGATACATAAGGAATGCTGAAATCACACAGAGGTGGTCTCCACTTTCTTCAGGACAACTGCCAAATTTAACTGATGCATCAGGCATGGAAAAACATTTATCAGACATCTTTTCATGATGTTCTCCATGCACTAGCAGGTACAAGACTGTGTTTCTGTGTTTTGTTTTTAAAAACATTTTAAGGCCAATTTTAATGAAGGCTTGCCTTTTCTTCCCACCTTTTAATGACCACTAAACCCACCCCTGTTGATTCTACCACTCATTTAACATTTCATAGAGGATTATCGAGCTCTTCTTTTGCTTCTAAGGGTAAACATACATTGGAATGTTATTTTCTGAACATTTTGTCTTTTCAGCTCTACCCCGTATTTCATTGAAGGCTTTACTATCAAACTTTTCCCAATCTATATACTGAAACTTCAATCATATATAAAAAGCCACTGCAGTAACTACTGTCGCGTAGAAGTAAAATTTCTTTTAAAAAAAATTATTTTAAAAAAATGGCACTAACAGAAGTAGATGATATTTATATAAATTTATGCGTTCCTCCCTCAATAGTTTAAGATATATATCCAGCTAAGCTTGTAATATCAATATATAGCTCATTATTCATATAGTCATCAGACAAATCTGCAGGCTTTGAGAATTACTTTTTCTTTTGCGATATAAGGTACTGTACAAGAGTGTTACTGCACAAAAATATTAGTCAGGGCAAGAACACCAGGGACCCACACCCTTCCCATTGTTTTGAAATGTAAACATTAAGTCATCTAGACTTTCAAATAAGAAATGCAGGGTATATTTTATAAAAATTTTGTACCTGTTAAAATCACAAAACAATCCTAATCTTGCAGATTTTTCAAAATTTTTTTCATTGGCACAAACACAACAACCCCCCCTACAACAAGAATAAAAACTTACTACCTCTTTTTGTCTATAAAACATTACCCTCCTTTCTCCCTCTAAAATTAAGAGCTGTATCTCACATTTTCAAATAAAATTAGCACCTTACTATTTAGGAACTGTTCTCACACTACAGCAACTTGCCTACATACAATACCACATCAGGTAAACTTATTTCTAAAGGAAGTTGTTTGCAACTTGCACATTCTTCACAGCTTTACAAGCAGCCCACACAGATGTCAATAAAACAAGTCCACTGTATCAGTTAGTTGAACTGTGTAACACTGGGCTGAGGGTGTGGACACACACTGTGCAAAACATGGAACGTGCAAAATTGGCTACTGCCGATTTTTAATTTGGGAACTGCACTATTCAACATATTTCAATACTCAAACATATAGTTTCAAAAGGATCAGCAGTTAGTGAGAAACAAAAATACAAACCCAAATCTCAAAATTAAAATTTGAAAAACAATTTCTCTGCTTTGTGAATTTGTTAAGAGCTTCCCACAGGCCCCATTTTCAATGCTTGCAACCCAGATTTGCCTAACGACAAGCAGCCGATTCAGAAATTACCTGAAAAGGGAAAACACATGGTGTATCATATGAGCTCTCATACTTGCAGCCCTCCAGAACAGATTAGGGTATTTCACCCGATCACCTGCCCCCCATGAACAACACAAAACTGTCCCTAAGCTTCTCAGCACACGGCCACTGCCTTGGCTTTCCCAGCTAACACCAGACATTTAATTTTAAAACCAATTTATTACATTTGAATATAACATTACAGACACATGCTCAAGAAGCTTCTACTGCCCGGCTCTCTGGGTAGGGAGGCTGCAGGTTCTCTCCCAAGCCTGCTGAAGGCTGGCTGTTGGCACAGGGCTCCATCTACTGGTTTGTGATCCTGTACACCCATGGGAAGAGCTGGTGTGGAAAAAAATTAAAATCTTACCAGCTATTTCACATCCCCATTTTCTGACAAGATCAGGATAGTCAGAAAACTCCACTCTTTCAGAAAAAAACCCACCAGTCAAACAAATACATGCACTCGCACATGCTAGGTGGGAACAGTTGTGCATATACAAAATCTTTTATTATCCTTTCACATCTGTGAAATGTATCTCAAAACCCGTAGAAAAATGCTAGATCTTCAGTACAAGAAGCAACATAACATACGCTCCCGATCCAGATGTACAACTTCATTGTTCCTTCTTAAAGCAAGCAAATAAGCCAACACAGATAACTCCAAAAAATTACTGCATTAATTGCATAACGTGCACAATTTAAGGCATTAGAGGTGGTCTTTTTTCCTTAATGTACATAAGCAAAAAATTACAGTAGGAAACTGCCATCAGTTTTCATCAAGGGTACTTCTGCACTGTAGCAACTGCAGCTCATGCCACTATACTATGTGTAACTTTAAAGATTAATTTGGCTACTGCTGACATATGCAGCATTTCTCAAATACAGCCACCTAACCCTTGCCTTACTAGCCCCACTCTGCCTTCAGCTCATGTTTGGTAGTGAAAAAGAGCAGTATCTTTACCTCCCCAGGACCCTCCGTGCCCATCAGCCAACCCTGATGAGCTCAGGCTCCAGAAGAGAAGCCAGAACAGAAAGCAGAGCAGTGCTATCACTTCTGAGGGGCAGCTCATTTTGACTGTGGTGACCACGCAGCAACAGTGGGGAAATTAGATAACACCTACCCAAGCAGCAATCAAATCCAGGTGGCAAGGGCCAGCTAACAGCTGACCAATCACCCCAATTCTGTTCTCCAAGGCATGCCTAGCAAGATCAGCAGCTAACTGAAGACCTGGTGCAAGATAAGAGACAGCTAGAAAAAGGACAGTGAGCTCCACAACTCCTCCCCACCTCTCTTCTTTAAGCACCCTGTCGCACACTTAACACCAAGTTGAAGGCAGCGAAGTGGGACTCAGTACTGTCGCAGGCACAAGTTTGATGTGGTCAGGGTAAGAAAACCAGGGAAATACCCACATCCCTCACACTGCACTTATGCATAGGAAAAGATGAGAATGATTCCAGGAACACCTGGAAACAGCCAACAGGTGGTCACAGCAAGAAGGCAGGAATGGATCGAGGAGTAATAAAATCCAGGCACTGCAGGATATCCTAGAAGGCAGGGAGAACTGGTGAACAAGGACAGCAGGGAATTCATGAAGTTCCTCCAGTGGCTCAATTTTTCCAGTTTATCTTGTCTGCCTAAAATGACAGTTGAAGCCACTAATGGACAAATTCTCCTACAATGAACTTGCATAACACCACAGAATAAGAAGGATGCTGCCTTTTTTCTTTTTTTAATTTTAGCTTGAAGGAAAGCAAACAGGATGCTGCCTTTTTTCTTTTTTTTTTTTTTAATTTTAGCTTGAAGGAAAGCAAAATTTAAACCTTGAAGGTGGCTTTTCACTTGCTAAATTAAAATTTTAACAAAAACGCATTTTAAAATACAACTGAACAGAACTAAGGGGTTGCTGATGTGTCTTTAAGGAACAATGACATCAATGCAGGCTACACTCGAGAAGGATATAGGTGTGGAACTACATCCTTTTTCATCATACATAATCAGGTGCAAAGAGAGAAGTTTAACTTCAAGATTCCTGCGGTCTAATGAAAATAAATACCATTACAAACAGATCCAAGAATACATACTTATTAAATACTGTTTGCTTTTCTTCAGATATAGATCATGGGAACTGAGATATTTAACTACTTCAAGAATAATTTTTATTCTATCTTAAACAGCTTACACTGTCAGCAAGCTCATGGTATCCTGACAACTATCAGATGGAAAAGAAAAAAAGTTGAAAAAAGTCAACTAGCATTTGTGAAAAGAGATTTAAATTGGTATCTGAGAATTTGATTGTCCTATTTTGATTACACTGAGCAATTGAATGTCTATGATACTATCTGTATCAATCATATTTGTGGTAAAGAAATTCAAAATCAGAACACATTTTTGTAACTCTACAAAAAGAGCTACAAAACATTCAACAAATCTTAAAGTCACTGTGGATGTTTCACAGTGCCATTTTCCTAATTATAAGGAAGGTCCCAAAGATCAGATTGGTCATACAGTGCTTATGTCAAACTCCAGACAAGGAAAACCACATCCTAATACTCTGCTACAACAGAAAATAGCAAAACTGCCTGTATCAAAAAATAAAAAAAACACTATAGAGAAACATGATAAAAAATACTTTGTTGTTTCTTATGCTTGTATCTAAAAATTTACATAATCAAGTTAACACATACTCACCTAACAAGCACCTAATGTTGCAAAATCCTACAGAACCCGAAATTTTATTTAAGTGAGCCACAAGGACGACACATTGAGAAATACAATCTTAAAGCAAGTCCAACTGTAAATCAAAGACATTTGAAATTAAGAACTGTACTTGAGAAAACAGAATTTTGCCTCTGTAAAAGTAATTTTAATAACTTTTTATAAAGTTCTTAGTATCAGTATAATAGTTTTATTATATTCAATACTAATAATTTTATGATAGGTTAGGTATAATTTATATAACTACCACAAGCATAAATTACAATATCCAGACAGGACACTTAATTAGATATGTATCTTCTTCATATTTCACCATCTAATCTCCCTCTCATAGGACTAGCTGTTTTTAAATAAATATATAACTATGTATCATAGCATTATTGAGAGAAATGAATGCTTAAAAGAGAACACACCCATTTTTGCATAACTTCTTTCAATAGCATTGAAGTAGCCACTGGAATGTCTTAGGATAATTTTCTAATTATGCTCAGTTAGTATTCTCAGATCTCTAACTACACTAAGCTACAAGCTGACTTGCTAGGTAACTAGGCTTATCTTTTTGGCAGTCAACTAAGCTTCTAAAATTAAGTGAAATCTATAATACATGGGAAAAAAACATTAAAAATAGTACAAATCAGAATTTTATTTCCTATCAGATATAATATGTAAGCACAAAGAATAGTTCCACTTCCTCACCTGTTGACAGGTTAGAATTAACAAAGGGAGGATGTGTGCATCAAATACATATTGGAAAAAGTGCAATGAAAGAAAACTAAAGCAGAGCCAATTACTCCCAAAAGAAACAAGCCAAGGACATCTGAAAAAAATGAATTGATGTTCACAATACAAAGATTTATACATGTATTTAACTTTGTGCATTAAAAAATGAAACAACACACACTAATGTCTTTAATTGTGCAAATGCTCTGCCAAAAGGAAATATTTTAATACTCTAATTTCAGTACATACTGATTGACATACCTCAGAAAGCCCTATTCCCTTCCCCCAATCCAATCTAAGCTTAAATGCTTAAAAGAGAACACACCCAATTTTGCATAACTTCTTTCAATAGCGTTGAAGTAGCCACTGGAACGTCTTAGGATAATTTTCTAATTATGCTCAGTATTCTCAGATCTCTAACTACACTAAGCTACAAACGGAGTTACTAGGTAACTAGGCTTATCTTTTTGGCAGTCAACTAAGCTTCTAAAATTAAGTTAAATCTATAATACATGGGGAAAAAACATAAAAAAGAGTACAAATCAGAATTTTATTTCCTATCAGATATAATATGTAAGCACAAAGAATAGTTCCACTTCCTCACCTGTTGATAGGTTAGAATTAACAAAGGGAGGACGTGTGCATCAAATACATACATTGGAAACAGTGCAATGAAAGAAAACTAAAGCAGAGCCAATTACTCCCAAAAGAAACAAGCCAAGGACATCTGAAAAAAATGAATCGATGTTCACAATACAAAGATTTATACATGTATTTAACTTTGTGCATTAAAAACTGAAACAACACACACTAATGTCTTTAATTGTGCAAATGCTCTGCCAAAAGGAAATATTTTAATACATAACCTCAGAAAGCCCTATTCCCTTCCCCCAAGCCAATCTAAGCTTAGTACCATTCATTTGTTAAGTTGGTAACTAATGACAATTTCTAGTTTGGGCCCCACCAAGTCTATTTTACACATACACACAATCATGAGGCAATTCTTCAGCACTAAATACTCTCTTTACAAGTAAATATTTTTATTTATAAGCTAAAGTACAAGTCAAAACATATTACATTTTAAAAACACCATTGAAAACATCAGATTTTTTTGTTTCAAGTACAACAATCTTTGATCCCATGTTGAATTCTTTCACAGCGGAGCATCATACAGCATTTTCAGAACAGTTTTGATTCAGACACAACCCTGCTCTCGTTTTACAGACCCTGGTGGGAACTGCCACCCCCTCCCTCCAAAGACTTAATCAATAACTGAGCATTTTAATCCTTCTTTGTCCTAATACTACATTACTGAATCAGATTAGACTTTTCTAATTTATTTCACACTCAACATTTAAATTAGTGCACAGCTAGCTGGAATATTACTATTTAAATGAACGTATAACTTAAAGATCAAATTCTGTCTTCAACAGATTTACATAAAAGGACAGAAAGGATAACATTTGTCTACCAGCATGTTATGTGGATCTCCTTAACTCAATTTACTATGGATTTCATGGTGCAAAAATTAATGCCCTCCAGGAGCTGAACTCATTACCAATTATTTCTTCCAAACCCACAGTGTAATCTCATGCTGCTGTGACCAATGGAAATTTTGCCGTTCACCTAAAGGCAAGTTGGATCTTGGTTCACTACTCTAGCATGTGCTACTGAGAAAATGATACCATAGAGGCTGTCTTAACTTCCTTCTAATAAGGAAGAGATACTATGAACCAGCCTCATGTATTTTATTCCTTGCTAAAACCGAGGGTAACATATTGAGGATAATTTTAACTGCACATAAAGCTGCCAACAGAATTATATGCCTTTTTCAACATTAATTTCTAGAATACATTTCAGCAATAATAATGGCAAACAGCCTGTGAAGTTACTCACAAACCCTACATAGTCCTTCACCCCCTTCCTTACTCCAGAACCCACAGAAGTATCCCTGTAAATCACCTGGTGCATATGTATCACACTGAACTCACAGCACATGTACAAATTGCCTCCCACCAGGGACCTGACCCAATGAACTTTTACATACCTGTAAAGGAAAAGGACTAGTAAACAAACAAACAAACAAACACAAACAAAAAAAGATGAAAACTGGTGAACAGATTTTTAAAATTTCATTGCGATCCCTGTATCGGTGATGGGCAGAAGTACTTGTAGCCGTCATGCCGATGGTACTTCACTGGTGTGTACAGCTCAGTCTCACACAACTCATACAGCTGAAGGACCTTGTCATGAATTGCTACATTTTGCTTACTTAAAAGCAAAACAAGAACAGAACAACCAAATAACACAGAATGTTTACTTTAACTGTTATGACTGGTTTTAATTCATGTTAAACCTCACAAAATATTGAAGTTAGTACCATAAAATATTGAAGTTAGTACCATAAAATATTTAAATTGGCAAATAATGCAAAACTGGCAGTTTCAGGTTGAACCAAAATTGTGTATTCCCAAAGCAAAAGTGGCCAAGAATAGATGCTCAAGTAGAGGTGCAAGAGCAAGCACATTGCTGCATTTCCCTAATATCCACAGGTCCCACAACCCCCAGAATTTGTAGCTCCGAGCCAGAGGCACATCTCTGTGGTTAACTGATTTTTCTTCCACTACTGAAGCACAGCAACTTAAGACTGTTCTAACAGCAGTCAGAACTTGCTGACGTATTTAAAAAAGACACTATGTGGCTGCAGGGGACTCCAAATTCCCAGGGTCAGCAAACTTCTACACTGTTCAGCTCCAACCACCTCAACTCCTGAAGTAGCATCTAGATCCAGTTGTTCCATAGCCAAATATTGAGAAGTGCTGCCTCAGACACCACAGGCCTCAGTGTACACATACTGAATGTTTGACCTCTAAACTGCTCACACTTGGAAGCCATAGACTCTTTCCTCAAGTGAAACAGACCTTTACAGCACCATTGAGAAACTGGGTTAGTATGAAACTGACTTATATTAGAAGCTGAGGTACGCAGCTCACTGGGGCTTCCTAAGGATCTTTTTATAAAGTCATAAATGTGCCAAAAAAAAAAAAAAAGAAAAAAGTGCAAACTTTATTTTGATAGGGGTTTTGGTGTGTTCTTTTTCTTTTTTCTTCCCCCCCCAGTACCCTCCACAGCCTGTTCTCACCTGAGGCTGAAGACCCAGCACTAACCTCCCGAATTTGGTCACGACAGGTTTCACCTCCAATTCTTCAAGCGCTGCCCCCCTCCCCTCCCGGGAGGGGACGGCAGCCTGTCCGTCCGTCCGTCCTTCCCTCCCTCCCGTCCCCACCGGGCTGACAGCCTCTGAACCTCCAACACTGCCCATCCCCGCACGGAAACTCGCCTCCCCCTCTCTCCGGCCGCACAGAGGGAAGTCCCGGTGACCCAGCCGAGGGGCTACCGCGGCCCACGCAGCCGGTAAGCGGAGGAAGGAGGCGGCGGCGCAGGCCGGGCGGCCCCAGAGGCGGGGGAAGCGAGGAGGAGGCCGGGCAGGGCCCGCCGGCCGGCGGGGAGGCGCTGAGGGCAGAGCGGCCCCCACCAACGCGCGGCCGCCACCGCCGCCCAGCCCCGCCGCGGGAGACGGGGAGAGTTCAAACCCGAGCGCCGCGGGAGCAGCCACAGCCTGGCCGGGCCGCGTCCGCCGAGGGAAGCCCGTTACCGCCCCGCCAGCCCGTTACCTGCCTGCTCCTCCCCCGCCGCCGCCGACCGCCGCCTCCTCCACAACAAAGCCCGGGAGCGGGCGGGGCGGGAGGAGAGATGGGCAGGCGGGCGGGCGCGCGCAGCGGCGGGGCCGCGGGCCGAAGGCGGGGCTGGGCGGCGCGGCCCCGGGGACGGGAGAGGCGGCGGGAGGGCAGCGGCGGGACACGCCGAGCCGGTTTGCGGGAGCCTGCCCTGTCCGCGTTGTCCCCGCACGGAAGGGGGAAGTCCTTTCCTTTTTGGGGGGTTCGCGCAGGAGCGCTGCCCTCCCTACTGAGGGGTACGGCGATGGGACATGGGGAGACGAACCCTGCTGGGGCTCCTAAGGGGGAGAAGGCGGTGGCGGTGGCCTTTGGGAAGGGGCCATAGGAAAACGGGGTTACGCCTAGAAGTGCTTTAGGAAAGTAAAGTAGGGGGAGTAGGGAGGGGTGGGTGGAGGAGGAGGAGAGATATCCCACCTATAAAGGAGGCTTTCATCAGGATAATTTAATGGAGTTGAGGTGAATAGTTTCAGGGTTTGAATATTGTGAGACAAACTTAATGGTTTCCTACTGTCCCGCTTTGAGGTCAAAACCACACCACCTACCAATAGCAGAGTTTATTTTTTTTAAGGAGCAGGTGCCATGCTATTCTGTAAA